ATATAGGGATGGCCGGTTAGCTCACTTGGGAGAGCATGGTGCTGACAACACCAAGTCAAGGGTTAAGATCTCCTTACTGGTCATCTTAAAAAAAAAAAGATACTGGTAGATATAACAAACAGATGCAGTTCATCAGATTGGAGTCTGATTTGGACAAACATCTATAAAGCACACTTTGCAATAGTTGGGGAAACTTGAATATGGACTATATTTTAGAAAGAAATGTTATTGACACAAAAGGTACAGGTTAAATTTTTTTTAAAGCATATTATAAAATAGCCTGTACAGTATGATCTCATATGGTTAAAAATGAATGTATAGATATCTGTGTGTAGAAAGATAAAGATACTAATAGTGGTATTTTTCGTGATGAAAATGTGGTATTTTTATGTCTTGTTTTTACTTATCTATATTCTTCAATTCTTTACAATATAATTTACTGCTTTTGTAAAATTAAACTTTCTTGAAGTCACTAAGTGGCAACATTTCAAAAGAACTAGGTATTATTTTAAAGATGAATTTATTCAGTTTCATTTACAATAGCATGAAAAAAATATAAATTCTTAGGAACAATTTAGCAAAAAGCATGTAAGACCCCTTCACTATAAAACATTATTGAGAGAAATTAAAGGGGACCTAAAAAAAAAATGGTTTATGGAGAAGAGTCAACATTAATGTATTTATTCTCAAATGGATCTATAGATCCAATAAAATCCTAGCAGGCATTTTTGTAGAAACTAACAAGTTGATTCTAAAATTTACATGGAAATTCAAAGGACTCACAATAGCCAAAACAATTTTGAAAACGAACAGAGTTGGAGGACTTACAGGACCTCATTTCAAAATAAATCTTAGACAATGCAGTACCCTGGCATAAGGATAGACAAATAGACCAATGGGACAGAATAGAGAATCCAAAAATAGATCCACAAATCAAATCAATTCAATGGAAAAAGAAAAAAAATGTTAGCATTTGGTGCTGGAACAACCGGATAAAAGTGGAACTGCTGGATAAACATATGAGGAAAAAATGAACTCTGATTCCTGTCTTACTTCATGCACAAAAAAATACTTATGCCTGGCCAATACATAAAATCCAGAGTCATAAAGCTTCTAAAAACAGGAGACTGTCTTTGCAAATTTGAAGTAGGCAAAGGTTTCAAAAACCAGTAACCATAAAACTTAAAAATTTGTAAATTGGACTTTATCAAAATTAAAAATCTCTGCTCAACAAAATACCATTA